CCCATGGTTTTATTCTTGCTTGGCAAGCACTGTAATAATAGGGTACATCTCTAGCTCCTTTTGTAAACTGTATTTATTTACTTATTTATTCATTGGGTTTTGTTTTTTTTTTGAGACGGGGTCTCATTATGTAGACTTGGCTGGTCTGGAGCTTTACCAAGTAGACCAGACTGGCCTCGAACTCACAGAGAGCCACCTGCCTCTGCCTCCCAAGTGCTGGGACCAAAGATGATTGTGCCACCACATCCAGCTGTAAATCTTATTTTGAGATAGAGTCTTGCTTTATAACCCAGGCTTCCCATGAACCTGTGATCCTCCTGCTTCAACCTCAAGATAGCTGGGATCAGAGGTGTGCATCACCACAAGTTACATGTCATTCGTCATCATTTAAGTACATGTGCATTTTTTGTAATAGATTGTGCCCATTTTAAGGCTATGTGTTTATTATTTATTAGATGAATACTAGCATACTTTTTCAAGGAAAACAACTTTCTTTGTTTTTCCCCCTACTTAATTTATCACTAATAATGCTTCTGTTTACAGTCCATTTTATTTTAGGTGTCCTAGAAGGAAGGTAGGACATATCCCCAGGGACTAGCACAATGTGTCAAATACAGGGGTGTTCAGAGCATACCTATGGAATGAATCATGTTCTCATGACTGACTGTAAGACTAGTTAGTTTCAACTAAGTTCCTTACGAAGAAAGCTAAATTTCTACAAGAATTATGAAAAAGAAATGATATTATACATTATTAGAGTATGTATGATTAACTCACAAAATAAATTTGGCTGAAATTGTGACCCTAGCTGGCTTAATACAGCTATGTTCACTAGATTTAAAGTCACAGGTGTAAAGTGTGGATTCCCCTGCTTAGAAGGCACTAAGACCATGGTAAATTGTTTGTATGTGTATGAGTGTATTGACGACTGCACGTGTGCAAGTGCACTCATGTTGTGCAATGCTCACGGAGATCAGAAGAGAGTGTCAAATCCCCTGGAACTGGAGTTACTGATGGTTGTTAGCTACCATGTGGGTGCTGAGGATCAAATCTGGGTTCCTTGCAAGAGCAGCCAGTGCTCTGAACTGCTGAGCCATCTCTCCAGCATCAGGAAATATTTCTTAAGAAGAATAAGGTTTTAGGGCTTGAGGAGATAGTGTGTAAGAGTTTGCTGTGCAAGCATGTGGCCCCAAATTCACACATAAATAGAAAAATAAGTAAATTTTAAGAAGAAAGCTATAATAGCAAATGGTATAATACAGGAACAGTCCAAGTAATTTGGATTCACACATGCTCCCACTTCAGATCCATCAAATTTATTCTTTACTTTACACCTAAACTGATCATTCTAATCTAACAATTACTTGGATAATTCACAGTATGCACCTTTCCACTGGCTCCTGTTTTGCTATCAAAATACAATCTCAGCTCCTACTGGTATCAAGATCATGTGATGTCACAACTTTTCTCTTCAAAGTCACTGTCTTCATGATCCTTGTCCTTTCCAATTTGACACCAAAAACAAAATAATAAACAAAGGAAATTACATGCCATACAATTATCTTGCTAGTGCAAAGCATCTGTGCTTTGGGCACAATCCCAGAAGATGCAGCGTGTGGAGGAAGAAAGTCCACAGTGTCTGTGTCTGTTGATGACAGCATTGATGTTTTAGCTGTTCTAACAGAAATTGAGGCTCTGCTCTCCAAGAGTAAGTGTGATTTAGGCCACACTATCATCTGCAACTCTGAAGACCTAAACTCCAGTGTAGATGATGAAAACAGATAGGAAGCTGAGCTTAGCAGGTAGAAAGGCGGTAGACTACTGCACACATTGAGAGGAGGTTTGGTATGTTCATCTTTGATCTTTTAAAAATCTCATCTTTCATCTTTGTTCCCTTGGGCTTGTTTCATGATCTTTACGCCAGATTGTATTTCCCACCCTGGTGCTCTCAGGCTGTTACTTCTCCAATTCTGCACTTCATTATCTCACGTTATCTTACTCCCTGGTCAGAGGACAGCTACCACAGGATGGGATGCTACTGTGACTTTCTCTCATGCTGTTCTTAGTATTCTGTGTCATCTCTCTGTTCATGGTAAGAAGTCAGTGAATGGTTAGTAAATGACTGGATATGACCAAATATATTCTGTTGTGCATTTTGTAAAATCTTGGTAGTTTGTGACTAGTTTGTTTAAAAGTGTACAGCTTTTCTATGTCATAGAATATTCTTAATACACTTCAAAGCTTTTTGCTTTGTGTCAGGTAAAGCACAACAGCAGCAACACAAACACTCCCAAATACTCAGAAGTATTCAGATCAGGGGAGGTATGCTCTGGGAGGGGGGAAACATGGGGAAGGGCAGTGGAGAGGGAACAAAGAACAAATTATATCAACACACATATTCATATGACGAGGCCATGGTGAAACCCACTATTGTGCTTGTTAACCTAAAAAATAGTTTTAAAAAATTTAAAAAGAATATCTAGTCCTGAGCTGGGCATGGTGGTGCACCCCTTTAATTCCAGTACTTAGGAGGCAGAGGCAGGACAGTCTCTGTGAGATCAAGGCCAGCTTGATCTCCATAGAGAGTTCCTGGCCAGCTATGGCTACAGGGAGACCTGTTCTCAAAAAAGAAAGACTATATACTCCTGAACAGAGAAAAGACATGGATTATCTAAACATGCTTGAAATTAGCATTCATGAATTTTGATTAGTAAATAATCTATATAAGGGAATGATCTGGAAATATATTTTAATGTTCATTCAGTAAGAATGGATGTAAAATAAACTTTAGGTGTTGTTTTCCACATGTGAAATATATTTGGTGCAATTATTTGCATTGTTTTAATAGAATTCCATACAAGATGCTTAGTAATTGTGTGAATTAAAAAAATATTTTATTTTTTATTTTATATGTATGAATGTTTTGCCTGCATGTATATAAATGCATCATATACATTCCTGGTGCCTGTGGAGGCCAGAAGAGGGCATTAGATCCCCTGGGACTGGGGTTAAGGACAGGTTGTAACCACCATGTGGGTGCTGGTAATTAACCTGGGTCCTCTGGAAGAGCAGTAAGTGCTCCTAAGCACTGAGCAGTCTCTCCAGCCCCAAATTCCATGCTGTAACAACCTGTTCAGAGCTAGAATTAAAATTCTAGTGTCTTTCAGAATAAAATGCAAAAGACAGAGAGAATATAGAGTTCTTGGAAACAGAGATAACTGAATGTGAGAGAGAGAGAGAGAGACAGAGAGACAGAGAGAGAGAGACAGAGAGAGATACAAGCAGCACAGAACAGGGAGAAAGACGTGAGCTAGGAAGCCATCTTAGGTTTTCTTCAAGATGAATTCAGGTGGAAAATATGAATAGGACCACAGGTTCTGTGCTGGATAGCTTTAGTGTCAACTTGACACACCTGGGTTGAGGGAGCCTCAATTGGTGAATTGCCTCCATTGAACTGTCCTGTGGCCATGACTGTGGGGTATCTTCTTAATTGTTGAGTGATGTGGGAGGGCCCAGCCCACTGTGGGTGGTACCACCCCTGGGCAGGTGGGCCTGTGTTGCGTAAGAAAGCAGGTTGAGCAGAGGCCAGGGGTGCAAGCCAGTAAGCAGTGTTCCTCCATGGCCTGCGCTCCAGCACCTGCCTCCAGGTTCCTGCCCTGAGTTCCTCCCTTGGACTCCCTGATGAACTGTGACCCAGGAGATGTAAGACAAATAAACCCTTTCCTCCCCAAGTTGGTATTGGTCAGAGTGTTTTGTCACAGCAGTGGAGAAACAAACTAGAACAGGTTCCAATTGGCATAAGACAGAATAGACTCACCTTTGTTTGATCCTTGGCAATATGGGAGGAAAGAGGTGGAGGATGGATCAATGTGGTGATGGAAGGGTATTTAAGTATCAATCTCTTTATTTATTTCCATCTTACTATAGTTTTAAGATACTACCAGTGGGAAATGGGGTAATTTGTACATGGGATTTTTCTGTAATGTTTCTTACAACCACATGTGAATCTGCAATGAGCTCAAAATAAGAATTTTTGTTAAAAAATAAAAGCTTCATTAGATAAAGCAAACCGATTTCCCATTCCATGCACTGCTAAGACCTTCTAGGGGCTGGAGAGATGGCTCAGGGGTTGAGCTCTTGCTAATCTTGCAGAGTACCAAAGCTCAGTTCCCAGCACCCACATTGGGCAGGTCACAACTGCTTATAACTTCAACTATAGGGGACCTGACCCTTTCTTCTGACTTCTGCCAGTATCTGCACACACATACACACACACACACACACACACACACACACACACACAACACACACACAAATAAAAATAAAATTTTAATTTCAGAAGACCTTCTATAACCTATTGGGTCATGTGCAAAATATGTTTCTGGAAATCTTTGTTCAGAAATTAATAATGTGAAGAATAAAATATGAAGCTTATTGTGGTGCCCTTTTATCATGGGGGAAGTGCAGTACCAAATGACATGTCCAAAATATCTGATTCTGTACATATGTGTACAGAATCAGATATATCCAACCATTGACTGCTGTCTTTCTGTATTTGCTTCTGGTAGAGGTTAATTTTCTCTACAGTCTTTACTGAGCCTCATAAGAGCTCTTCTTCATCTGTTTCCTGCAGATGATTTTAATGATGCATTGCTTTGATGAACCAATTTCACTGAGGACGCACCAATATATCAGAATGTTGAAACCCAGGCACTGAGCAAGAAGAGTCTCTGGCCAGTGCTAATATGTGATTTTGACTCTGGAGATAAATATTGTAGTCATGCTTTGTACCTAAGCCTCAGCAGGACAACATTAAATGATGTTCAGAATCTTGTTTTTGTTTTTGTTTGTTGAGACAATATCTCACTATGTAATGCTACATGCACTTGCCTCTGCCTCCCAAGTAATGGGATCAAAAGTATCCAACTCTATGCTTAGCTGCTGCTTAGAATCTTTACTTATTCACAGATGAATTGATGATATTTTCAGAATAAATATGTGGACTCCTTAAGTTTATTTTGTATCTTTACCTGAGTTAGATTTTATTCCTCAAAACATGTCTGTCAAGGAATGTACTGATGTATTCATTTTATGTGTACTGATCTTGAGGCTGAATAAGTTTAAATGATATTCTATGATAATTTCCATATTAATAAACAGCCACAAACTAATGAAACTACAGTCTGAATGCTTGGATCCCCGCCACTCAGTAATGGACTGAAGCTCAAGTTCCTAAGATGCCGGCAAACCAAATTCAAAAACAACCCTCCCGGGATACATTTGTAGACATCTTGGCTGTATATTTCAAGTTTTACAAGCACAATTTCCATGCTAAAATTTTAGAGAGAATTTCCCTTCTAAAAATGATAGAGATTGAAGTGTGGGAGTTAGGCATACATATATTTCACCATCACGCTATCTGAGTTTAACTTCCAGTGTGGGCTGTGGAACTTTGGGGAAATTACTTCAGCTTCTGTGTCTGCTTTCCTCGTTTCTTAAAACATAATAAATCCACCTCGTGAGTTTGTTGTAAGACTAACCAAACAAATAAAAAAGAACACATTAGTCCTCGTCTAGTACAACATTTACAGATCATTTTTGTCATAACTTATTTGTTTTGTGTGCTGTAAAACTATCATGACTGATATCTGAAAGACTAATTTTCCAGCCCTAAGTATGATTTGTTCTTGGATTTTCATAGCATTTTGACAGAAACGTTTTAGAAACTGTGATACAAGCCAATAAACATGAAGCTTGTATAAAACTGCTCATAGACTTTGGCCTTTTTGTTTTCCCCACACAAGCCCCAATTTTCTTCTTTTATTTTTGAGAGTCTCATACATGCATACACTGAAATATGATGGTATCTAGTCCCCACATCCCCCTCCCCCATATCTCCCCAACACATCTCCTCCCAACTTCATTTCTTTTTTCAATAACCCACTAAGTCCAGTCAGTGCTACCTATATATGCCTGGGTGTGGAGCCATCCACTGGAGCATGGGAACCCTACCAGTGGACACATGCTCAAAAAAGAATGCTTGTCCCTCCCCCAGCACCTATCCAGTGTCAATAGCTCCTCAGCAATGAGGGCCGGGAGACCGTCTGCCCCATCACTGCTGGATGTTTGCTGGCCTGATCTTGCACAGGTAACCATAGCTGCTGTGAGTGGATGACTACTACAGCCATGTCCTGTCAGGAGACAGCACATCACAACACTCCTCCCCATCCTCTGGCTTTTGCATGCTTTTCATCTGCTCTTCTATGTTCCCTGAGCCTTGATGATGTGTGTTTGTGGGTGGAGGGTGGTACTGTCGATGTCTCATTTAGGGCTGAGCATTCATAGACTTTGGACTTTTGCCAGTAAATTTACCCTCTTTCAGTCAGTTTGAAGCCTGTTGACTCTGTTCTCTGGTGACAACAGGAGACCATTCAGGGCCCTTTGGTAGAAAACACTGTATGCTTCAGTGTTCTAGGTTATGAAAGGCCAATAATGGACAAAGTACACAGAACATATTCTTAGCTTCTGTGGAAAGGAAATGAAAGAAAGAATTGTAAATTCAGTGCATGGACATAAGATTGGGATTAAATAATTTCATACAAATTATTCAGTTGCAAATAAAGACTGTGAAAATTGCTTACTGCTGCTTTTATTACCACAGCCCACAGAACCATTATCATTCTTAGATTACAGGTTACAATGAAGGTCAAGGCGCTGGAGAGATGGCTCAGTGATTAAGAGCACTGGCTGCTCTTGCAGAGGACTCGGGTTTCAATTCACAGCACCCACATGGCTGCTAATAACCATCTGCAACTCCAATTCCAGGGGGAATCCAATGCCCTCTTCTGACTACAGGCATTGAGGAGATGGGTGCACTTATACACATGCAGGCAATACACTCATACACATAAAATAAAATACTTTTTAAAAAGAAGGACATGAAGAAATGGTCAAAGATTTCTAAGTGACCATTGCTCAGAATGACCATTGAGAAAACAACAAAATAATTACCTTTTACTTAAATTTGATTTTGCTTATCAAATATGAAGGCAGAAGAATATTTACAGTTGGCCATGTCTAGCAGCCTGTTCTCTAGTCTAGATACAGATACTGCTATTATTTAGCTATTAAGGATTGAATGAATAAACACAGAAGAGATGACTAAAACCGCTAAGGAGTGTGTAATAATACAATGCAGGCACTAGCGCAGTCATGGTCTTCTAGCTATTCCAGCATGTTCCACTTTTTTTTTTTTTTAATCAGATAGAACCAGTCATCCTTGAAATCAAATTCCTCCTCGGTGAGCACACCCTTGAAGCTGTAAGAGGGATCTTCATAGGTACAGGTGTGTGTTGCTGAGCATCTTGCACAATTTAATGATGAGGCAGGACACCATGAGAACACTTCCCCATCTCCCACGGGACCTGCTTAGTGACCTAACACCTCCTCTGTGTGGTCAGAAGCGTTACTGAGGTGACCCTTCAGGTGCTGCTTACAAACCTTACAGTCCCCAGTACTTGAATCTCTCAGTCCTAGAGAATGCCCCTTCCTGTGCAAATCTGTTCATCATTCCACACGGGCTTATCATTCCCTGACATTTGAACTTAATAATACACTTAGAGGGGACTTCAGAGCAAGATGGTAGACCAGAAGCTGCCTCAGTGTGAGAAGGTAAAGAGAGGGTCAAAGTAAGAGGAAGAACTTTGGAAAATCACAAAAGAAGTGAAAGTGTACCAAAAAGAAACAATATGTAACCATGGAAACTCAGCAGCCATGGCAGAAGAGGAGAAAGTGGCCACAGCTTGGCCACGCCAAGTAAAGTCACGCCCAAGATGCAGAGCCACAGAAACTGAGGCTCAGAAGAACTCGGCTGTATCCACCCTGTACTGCATGGAGAGTTGTCAGGCAGGGAGGGAATGCGCCCTAAGGGGCTCAAGCACCCAGCATGTCCAGAGCCACCAAGAGGCCGTACTCACTGCTGGAAAATGACATCAGAGACTGAACCAGCGAGAAAAGAAACTGTACCACAGACACCTCGGGCAAGTCCCGAGGGAATCCGAAATCTAGCAATTTCCAATGTCCACATAATCACCCTGGAGGAGCAAGCAATCTGACCACGGGACCACAGGAATGGATCATAAGAGGAAAGGAGAGGAGAGCTCAGTAGGCTCTGACCTCAACCCACTGGCATTCAGCAAAGGAGAACACCTCAAGCTTTGAAGTTGAAAAATTTGTACAGCACATCATCCTCCCACCTGCATGTTGCTCCAGAGATCAAAACATCCTTAGAACCCTGGGATGTGCTGACAGAACGTGGAAGGTGGGGCAATGCACAGGTCAGAGCAACACACCCCAAGCTGCACAGATCATGGAGACAACAGCAAAAGTGTGGTAAGAGAGTCTCACCACCTCTTCCCCACCAACCGCAAGATGAGGAAGTACAGTGTCTGGTAAACAGAACTAAGGTTAACACAGGCAGAAGCTCCCCATCAGGAAGAAACATTGACCAAGACCACAATACCTGATGTTTCATTTTATATTTTATTTGTGTTTATATATTTTTATATATTTGTATGCACACATATTCCCCTTATCTTTTAATTATTTAATTTTTTAGTGTGTGCAACTTTGAATTTAAACTTGTACCTTATTGGGAAACACTCTTATGTTTGTCTGAACCTAATATACAATATTTTCTCTACTGCTTTTAATACTTCTGATATACTTTTTCTCATTCTTACTATATCCCCATCACATCCCCCCTTCACTATGTAAATACAGTACATTTTCCCCAGCCAGGATGGTAGTTCTTATGTCTGCAAATCTTATAGGGGACATAAGTCAAGAGCACAGTACATTATGTAGTGAGCACTGGGACATCAGTTAAACCATCACAGTTGTTAATATAGTCTCTTTTCGACCAGTCACCAGCAGGACTCATGTAAAATAAAACACATGAAACACTGGTGAAAAGTGAAAAACTGCAAACAAGGTCTCATACACTCCAACAGATGCACAAAACACAAGAAAGGACTCAAAAACAATCCACTGAGACACACCCACAAACAGACCCCTCTCAACAATGGAAGAGATGACAGGATGTTGGCAATCCAGGCAAAGATTTCAGACTCCTACTTTTAAAAAATATCAATGAAAAGAGTGCTATAATGGATAGACAGATAGGGAAGTTAATTCAAGAAAGTCACAAAAAAAATCAAAAGATATGGGCAAGAAAGTTACCACGCAGATGAAAGAAAGCAACTTGAAGGAAAACTTTCAAAACACGGAGGAAAAATTCAACAAGGAAGTAGAGATGCTGAAAAAGAACCAAACAGAAGGTCTGGAAATGAGACGATCAAACAGAAACACAGCACAGAGAAAGGCCGTCTTCTGGACATAGCGTGGGCACTGTACTCAACAACGCACTGCAGGTGTGGTGATTGCATGCATAACACCTGCACAAGATGAAGTCAGTCAGCATTCTAGTGGTCAGTATTTATTGGACTCTGAGTTACTTGAAGATGGGAGGGAGACATATTAGGGAGTGTCTGGAGGGAGAGGAAAGAAGTTGGGGTGGATACAACCAAGACATATTGCATATGCAGATAAAATTATCAAAAATTTAAAAATTCTAAAAAACTAGTCAACCAACCAAACAAAACAACCACAGCAGAAAGCATCATCAAGGGAGACTAAACACAATACCCAAACCCAAAGATGAAGGAAAGGTTGAGACAATAATACATACAGACATGCATGAAGGAAAAGATGAGTGAACACGGCCAAAATTTCGAAAAAGTCTGGCGTGTACTCAAGAGATCAAACACAAGATGCCATGCAATAGACGAATAAACGATGAAATCTAAAGGCTTAGACAAGCTGTTCAATGAAATAATGGATGAGAATTTCCCTAACATCCAGAGAGACTTCCAAACATAGGTTCTTAGAACCCCAAATGGACATGAGCAGAGAAGAGTCTCTCCAAAGCATGTCATCATTTTAGAACAATAGCTGGTTGTCTCCCTTAGCTATAGGTGGGCACTACAGTATTGCAGACCAAAATTTGAAGTCTTACATCTGAGCAGCGATAGATGAATTGGATATATGAATCTGGTCAATAGGGAGAAAGCACCAGGACACAGATTAAAAACCCCA